CCTCAAGAAGAAAGTAAATATTGGCAAATGAATATGGTGAATACCTGATAACATTAAAAGAAATTTATTTTTTTTCAACATCTCAAAGTGATGACTTACCAATGTGAGAGTCCTATATGAATTAGCTATCTGTGTGCAGTGAAACATTAACCTTTTATAGCAATGGTTACAATCAGTATCTCATAAGAAAAATAATGAGCAGAGGTTACCCATGTCCTATTTAATTGACCTATTCTTGATGCTGAAAAAATTATAGATTTGTGAAAGAATACAGTTTGGCATAGATTGCTACCATTTCCTATGAAGTTTAGATGATATAAAATATGATATAAAATAATTGCCCTAATTGGAAACCAAAGGACCCTCAATACTACCTTAGCTAATAATCTCCTTTTTAGACAATGAGAAATGGAAGCCAAAAGCAACATCATTTTATAACAAAAACTTGTTACTTAAACATGCATACATACCCTTTGACCAGTGAAACCATCAGTTTGACCAAAGATGTAAAATTTTAAAAAAAGAAAGGACCACAAGTACAAAAATACTTAGTATAGTACTCTTTTTCTGTAGCAAAGAAGTGGGAACAAAGAATATGCCTTTTTATTGGGAATAGCTGAATAAATAATGGTTTACACATGTAAGTTAGGGATAAGGATAGAGATAGGTACTGGATCTGTGATTTCAATAATAAAGAGTACCAAATTCTTCTGACTTATAACTTAAAGAGTTGCCCAGACTATTAAGAAATTATGGGGGGGGGGCAACTAGGTGGTACAGTGGATAGAGCACCAGCCCTGAAGTCAGGAGGACCTGAGTTCAAATCCTGCCTCAGACCAAACACTTGACACTTAACTAGCTGTATGACCTGGGCAAGTCACTTAACTCCAATTGCCTTTAAAGAAAAAAAAAAAAGAAATTATGACCAACAAGTGTCAGAGGGAGGCCTTAAACTCAGATCTTCCTGGTTCTAAAACCAGATTTCTATCACCCACAGCTCACTGTCTCTTCATATAAATGTAATGGAATTTCACTGTGCAATAAGAAACAACAAAGGAAATAGATTCAGGGAAATCTATGAAGATTTGTATGAACTGACACAGAATAAACTGAACTGAAGTAGGAGGCTAATTTACAAAATGCTTATAACATTGTAAAGACAAACAACTTTTAAGGACTTAAGAACTCTGATCAAGGCAGCAGCTAATTATAGCCCCAGAGGACCAAAAATGAAGCTTGCTGCCACCTACTGACAGAGTGGTGATAGATTAGACAAGCAGAATGAGATGTACATTTCCCAATATAGTTAATACGTAAAATAGTTTTGCTTATCTATGCTTTTTGTTACGAAGGAGGATGTTTGCTATTAAAGGCTTATTAAAAGGGGTATTGAGGGATAGAGGACCAGGGATAGTTAAGCTATGCCTCTACACACCCCCTCCCGCAAAGATGAAGTACTCATACTACATCGTGAGTACAAGGAACAACCAATGGGTGACTCATGTTCTATTGATACTTATACAATGTGAAGAGATCAAGGAAGGTCACCAGTATGTTGAATGAATGCCCTTTGGAGTATTTACGGGAGGTTATAGATAAAAATAGTACAAAATGAGAAGGAACCCATGTATAACAAACTGCACTGTTGTAGGCAATACCCAAGATTATAGCTTCATTGATGTAACTGAATTTTTTAAAAAGTTCAATCTTATTCTAGATAAACAAACAAAAGGAAGCTTTGGCAAAGCTTAGTAGTAGGGACCTTCAACTTCTCTGATGAATCCATTTGACTTTGTTTCAATAAACTATTTGATACTTATTTCTCAAAATACAGACTTTCAGAACTGGAAGACCACTCACAGATCATTTAGTTCAATGTGTTCATTTTTAGCAATGAGGCAACTATAACCCAGAGGGTTTAAATGACTCATTAACAGTAACACAGTTGGTTAGTGACAAATTTGGGCAGGGCTGTATTGGCAAATGTTTAACTACTAGCTCTCCAAAAAAAATGGTGCCACAACACACTTTTAATTTTAATCTTCATTGTTAACATTTTTTCCATCACTTTTTTGAGTCTAGAGACAACAAAACAAATCAAACCCTGATATGTAGCGTTTGCCAGTTTATGGAGTACAAATGCTCACACTGAAAGTTTAATAATAGGCAAGTCTTGCAATATAAGCTGCCTCCAGAACACCCATGAAGTTGGTGCTAAAACCTAGGTTTCTTAACTCCTTATCTGGTGATCTTTCCATTTCACAACTCTAATTCTTTGCCTGTGTACATTTTGAAACTCCACAACAGACGCGCATTGTGTATGCATGATTCTTCCACAATGCTTAGTACATCTCATAAAAAAAGTCTTCATACAGAAAAATTTAATAAGAGTTTTTGGTTGATGTTAGGGTAATCTGGATAAGGGACATTGTTTAGGTAATAAATCTAAAATAAATGGCTATTATTGACTTGTAGATGAAGCCTAGGCAAAACTTCACAGTATAATGATTCTATAAATCAAATAAGCAAGCACAGTAGAATGGTGACAATATCTTAGATTCATGTTTTTTTCCTACTTTCTCAAAATGGTTCATGGAAAGCAACATTATATTGTGTCCTTGTGCTTTAATTAGAGAATGTCAATAGATTTCAGATCACACAGTTTAATTTTCTTTTTTATATTAATATTTTATTTCCCACCATTACATGTTAAAACGATTTTTACATTTTTTAAAAATATGAGTTATGAATTTTATCCCTCTCTCCTCGCTTTCTTGCCCTCTTCCTGAGATAGTAAGCAATCTATTATAGGTTGTACATGTGCAATCATATAAAACATTTCCATATTCATCATTTTGTGTGAGAAGACTAGGACAAAAAAAAATGAAAGAAACAAAGAGTGAAAAATAGTATGCTTCAGTCTATATTCAGGCAATATTTGTTCTTTCTCCATAGGCAGATAGCATGTTTCATCATGAGTCTTTTGGAATTGTTTTGTATTATTGTATTGCTGAGAATAACTAAGTTATTCACAGTAGATCATTATAAAATATTACTGTTACCATGTACAATGTTCTTCTGGCTCTGCTTACTTCATTTAGTATCAATTCATGTAAGTCTTTCCAAGTTTTCTGAAATCATTCTGCTTATCATTTCTTACAGAAAAATAATATTCCATCTCAATTATATACCACAGCTTTGTCAATCATGCCCCAAATGATGGGTGTTCCCTCAATTTCCAATTCTTAGCCACCACAAAAAAGCTGCTATAAATATTTTTATAAATAGGTCCTTTCCCCCTTTTATGATGTCTTTGAGATATAGACCTAGTTGTAGTATTGCTGGATCAAAGGGTATGCACAGTTTTATAGTCCTTTGAAAATAGTTCCAAATTGCTCTCCAGAATGGTTGGAGCAGTTCACAGCTCTACGAACAGTGCATTAGTGTACAAGTTTTCCCATATACCTCCAACATCCATCATTTTCCTCTTTTTTGTCATAGTAGCCAATCTGATAGGTGTTAAGTGATACCTCAGAGTTGTTTTAATTTGCATTTCTCTAATCGATATGATTAAGAGCATTTTTATATGACTATGTTGATTTCTTTGTCTGAATACTGTCTGTTCATATCCTTTGACCATTTATCAATTGGAAGATAATATACCTTATAAATCTGACTCCAAACTGTTTCATTTTCAAATTCAATTTAAGCTAGTGCTTACTTATCTACACAAATCCTCATCATAAATAAAATCTCCTTTACCTGAATGACCTTCCTTTTAGAGCCAACTGAGCCTATTTGATGTAGGTTTCCTCTTTTAAATATATTACTTTCCTTCACTGATTGATTCCACACTACTTAATTTTACAATGGTTTTTCATATGAATTACAATATCACACATATATGTACAGATATTGCATACATTATACATTTTTCATTAAGGTCTTACCCTGATGCCTCATTGTGTCATAGAAATAATCCTTGGTTCTCAAAGGCTAGGCCAGATAGGTGTAAACTCTCACAGACCTTATAAAGCAAAAAAGGATTTTAATGCAGACCCAGTGACAAATTGTGTGCCTGTCATTTGAGGACCAAACTAAATAAGTCCAAAGAACTTATACTACAAGAAAATGGATTTGTTTTTTATTTACTTATTTGTTTCTTACCACAGTACCTTGTGAATACTACACAGCGTAGTAGAGAAGAATTCCAATCTGCCTCCCATGAGTACTCAGGTACCATTCATATTGACGAAATTCTAAATCTTTGAATTATATAGGCAATGTGGTATAGAGCCAACTTTGGAGCTAGGAAGACATGGATACAAGTGCTGCATGTGACACATCATGACTGTTTAAACTTAGGCAAGTCACTTAACATTTCAGTTAAGTTTCCTAGAGAGGCAACTCTTGAAGATTATAAGTTGCAAAGCTGCATTGGTAGACAGGGTTTTCTTGCCAGGCATTTGCTATACCAGTGATCATAAGTCCATTCCCTAAACCTCTCTTAAAATCTAACATATCTTATACATATATTAAATGGTAGAAATAATCCTAATCCTAACCACCATTTTACTTTTCTTCATTATTTGATTTATAGAGCCATTAAACAGTAAAGCCTTTTCCCAGGTTTCATCTACCAGCCAACCAATTAATTTATTTTAGATTTGTTACCTAAATAATTTCCTTCATACACATCACCTCCAACATCATCCAAAAACTCTTATTTAATTCTTGTTTGTGAATGCTAAGCACTGTGAGGGAATCGCAAAATAAGAAATTGTCACTATTGCCACTTATCAATGAAACATATTTAGTTAGTTTGAAAGTGTCATAAAAATCCTGTGTTTGAAACCTGATATGAATAACGACCTAACAATATAGGTAGGTCTATGCTTTCCTACTTCAGTGAATAGTGGGAGAAGGTGGTATAGATGGGGTTTTGAAAATCCTGCAAAGGCCCTATTACTAACTCTTTCTTATTGCTTTCTTTTAAAAAGGTGAACAAGATCTGTGGTCCCCCTGTCAGAACACCTACACAAACCCCTGGTTGTTCTCTTGATCAGAGCAAAGATAAGCAAGGAATGAAGATCTCTTCAAGAGAGGGTGAAGAAACCCTTGCCAGCAGAAGAAAGTAAGACATTAGTTTTACAACCAGAAAGAAAGAAGAAAGTAAGCCATTAATTTTACAACAGAATGGACCATATTCAATTAAAAAAAATGAAATGCAACAGGAGAGAAAGAAGAGAATAAAATTAATTCAGTTTCAAAGAACTAGCAAAAATGCTTTCATTAATTAGTGTAGGGCCTTTTTGCAAAATCTAGGTTTAGCATTAGGTGATAGCTAGTAGATTATTTCATTTCAAGCCGAGGCTTTGGAATCTAAAAACCATGGTTAGTTAAGAATTTAGGTTATTGATTTTTTCTCTGGAACCTGCTAGACCAATTTGATTAGGGATTCTTCTCTTTCTTTCTCTGTTTTTCCATTGTCCTTTGTGCTGCTTTTGCATGTGTCTAATTTGACCTTTTTTTAAAAAAATAATAAACCACATTATTTCTCTCACTACATTATGATCTCCTTGAGGTCAGGGACTACATCTTGTTTATCTTTATGATCCCCACAATGTCTTATACAGAGTAAAATATATAGCCATTCAATAAATGTTTGTTGAATGGAAATGAAATGATATAAATTGACTTATAAAGGATAAACATTGAGTCATTTGCTTAAAATTAATGTAAATTTTTGTTATTTATTTCACTTGTGAAATTAATATCTGTATCAAAACAATTTTACAAGATCACTTCTTATTAAACAGAAACTGCATCAACAAAGAGAGGAATGAGTTTCTTCAGGGCTTAAAACCAAAGCTGTCTATAAGCACAAAATCAGATAGCATAGAGAATAGCAGGTATTGGGTGGGATGAAGAATATTAGTGGAAAAGACCAATGACTCAGAAAAGACAGGATCCATGAAAAAGGGTTGTAATAAAGCATGGAGCCTTAGATAGCACTTCAAAAATGTCCAGAGCATGAGTGAAAAACAAGATGATCTAAAGACTTTAACAGAAGGAGGTATATATTCAACTCATCAGTTTCAGGGCAAGGATAGATGAGGCTCATGATTGATAGGACTATAGAAAGTTTTATTTATTCAAAATAAACAAATTAGATAAACAGAATGGTGGAATAACAATACCATGCAGGAAAGGGAGGAAATCTTAAAGGGTTGTGAGTGGGGGCAGAGCATAAAGAAATAATAGTCAATGGAAAGAGAAATAAGAGTGATATAATTGCAGACTATCTAGTCAGACAGCAAAAATAAGTACGTAATGAATTGAGGAAATGTATAATAATTTTGTCTCAAAAAAAAAGCATGGTATAGTGTGGAGTGTATGTGAAAGGTAAAGGGTTAGAGACAGCTTTATGCATAATTTGCTCAAGCTTTCCTTCTTTCTCTGTCTCTCTCTCAAAAAAGTGGAGAGCAATGAATAATATATTGCATTGACTTGATAACAATTTCATTCCTAAAAGCATGGGGAAAGTAAAAAGGGGAAATATTATTTGAGGCCTGATTTTAGCAATAATGTACCACTAGTCCTACTAATTGAAATGAGAGAACTGGTGACAACTACATCTTAGCATCCATGATGGATAAAGGGTGGGTGGAGAATAGACAACGCATAATCTGACATATATCCAGATTTTGAAAGTAGTTTTTAAATAGTCCGGGGGAAATTTTAGGATTCCACGACTGGAGATTATATGCAGAAGAAGTGAATCCAAGATGTATGGGATGCTTTCATTAAGAAGTTCTCATAGCACAAAAACCAGTGATTTCAATGAAGAAAACTTTAAAGAAAATGATATGGATATTGGCTAATAGAGATTCTTTTTATAAAAAAAGATATAGTAAATAAAGCAAGAGTTGTAAAAGAAGATGCCTGTGAAATAATAGAAACATCCTGTAAGAAAAAAAAAATCAGGGATTCTAAATCTGAGAATGAAATGAGTCAGGCAAAGAAAGTCAAAGATAACAAAAGAAGTATTTAAAATGCTATAAATAGAGTAAAGGGAAGATGAAAGAAAGATTAGGATCTCTGCTCAGGGTAGAGAGGACAGAGATATTGGACTGTATCAACTCAACTTTTATATGGCTTTTGCTTTCTTAACAATATAGAACAATCTTCTAAGTGATATGGAAAATGATCTTATCAGTGAATTGAAACCCATGATCTCTAAAGAGAGAAAGAGAATATCAAGCTATACTAAATAGTTTTCAATCTTCAAGGCCCCAACTTTGTATAACTGTAATAAAATAAATTAGTGGTATGTTTTTCAATCACAACTCCTATTGTCTTTTGGTCATTCATATGTGGCATACATAAATGATAGCTTCTTCAGAAATCTGGAATGCATGTCTAAGGAGCCAAAAATTAAGGCAGCTAGATGGCACAGTAAATAGAGCATTGGGCTTGGAGCAGAACTGAGTTCAAATTCAGCCTCGGACACCTATTCGCTATATGGTCCATTTACTTAAACTCTGTTTCCCTCAATGTTCTAAACTGCAAAACAAGGATGATAACAGAACCTACCTCTAAGGGTAGAGCAGCTAGGTGGTGCAGTGGATAAATAGCACCAGCCCTGGAATCCGGAGGACCTCACCACTCTAGTATCTTTGCCAAAGAAAAACTCAAGTGGGGTCATGAAAAGTTGTACATGACTGAAACAACTCAGCAACAACCTTCAATGGCTGTCATGAGGAACAAATGAGATAATGTTTGTAAAGTGCTTAGCACAGTGCCTGTGCTTCATAAATACTTGTTTTATTGTCCTTTCCCTTCCTTGAAGACTGTGGGCAGGTGCAGGTAGCATCTTCATCACTATTGCTGATTGAATTTAAGGGCTTCAGAAGGTTAGGACAGATCTGCAGATTTGAGAACTGTACAGATGGTCAAGAGGATGGCTTCTGAAAAGAGAATTTGAATGTCTTTGCTATGGCTTCCAATGTAGGAATTATGGATTCAACCAGAGATCTAGTGCACATAAAAAATATAATAAAATATAGTTATCTAGAATCTAGCAAACTAATCAGATAGACTTTAAGCTAAAAAGAAAATGTTAGAGAGAAACCTGTCTTCCTGTATCCAACCAGGTAGATGCCATAGAGAGTATGAACACTGTAGAAAGAATGGCAAAATTAAAATAATGGTAATAATGATAAAATCTAACATCTATAGAACTTTAAGATGTGCAAAGTGCTTTGTAGAAATATTCTCATTTGATTCTCACAGTATTATCCACATTTAATCATTAAAGAAACTGAGGAAGAGATTAAATGACTTTACCATAGTCACAGAGCTAGTAAATGTCTGGAGGAGTATTTGAACTCACCATCCCCTATGTCACCTAACTGCCTGTTCATAAATTTATGAGTCAAAAATCCAAAAAATGAACCAACAATAAAACCATTAGACTCAGGTAAGCCTATACATAAGCAAAAAATATCAATAACAAATAAGGTGAGCTAGATTAATGTAATAATGTATATTTGACCTGTTAATCTTAGGCTTAGTGGGATAGGACTCATGACTGGGATATATGATTCTGGCAGGTTAAATTTTACAAAAGTAGAGGATAGAGAAACATTTATATTTAAATAACATATGCATGGAAGAAACTTAGAAATGAGAATTAAGAAATGCAGAGTACATTTAGGGGAAAGATCAGTAGCAGCAGAAACTGGAACAATATTGTTATCCAAGTATACTACAGACCACTTGGATAGAAAAGAATAGGATAAAGAATTTTTAAAATTTGATTCAGAAGCTTGATAAAGCAGTGACAGTAGGATTCACTTATCTAGCCATCATCTGTAGCAACCAGAGAAGCTAATATCTTTTACTTGATTTAATTATAATATAATCCTTCAAAAGGTAGAGAGACCAGTAAGAATAACTACTAATCTGTACCTAATTTTCACCAAAAAGAAGGAATTAGTTGAAGTTGAAGTTAAAATTAAGGGGTCCTTGGGGTGACAGTAGGGGAAAAGGAGTAACTATTCCATTTAGAATCTATAATAGAGATGAAGAAAGACATTCTTAGATTTTGAATCCTATACTTTGGGAGAACATATTTCAAAGGGTTCAGAAAAAAAAAAAAAGATAGTATCTTTTGGTCTTGTAAGACAGGCCAGAAGAATGGATATTTTCAAAAATGAAATTCTGAAGACAGAAGGAGCAGCAATTCTTATGAATAATTGAAAAGGGAAGGATATATATGACTAGGGAACTTATTGGCTGCTTTTAATTTTAAGGAGACATATGCAGAAAAAGAAGCAAGGTCAGATAACAGAAGAGGAATACAAAAAGCATGATGTGGTCCAATAAAAAATAGTATCTGGAAAATTGAAATTCAAAATGAGTTGAGACTAATAACACAAATTAAAGTTAAAAAAGTATTTTTTTGGACATTTTATTAGGGAAAATATGGAGGTGAAAGAACGGGGTTGCCAAACATGGAGAGATGGGATGATGATGGAAGATGGGGAGAAGGCAAAATTACTTATTCTTATTTTGCTTTTCTTTCTGCCAAGAGAACAATCTTTGAACTGGAAAAAAAATCATAAAGGGATGAAACCTAAGATAAATCATAGATAGTAAAATAGCTCCTAATTGTTCTGAATGAGTTAAAACGATTAAACCAACTCATTGCTAATATATTGAAAAAAATGGTAGATTTGTTATTGATTATATTGTCAGTGACACCCATGGAAAATGAGAGTTTGGGAGGATCATGAGTTGAGTTTTAGACATAACAAGTTTGCCAGTAGGACATCCAGAAGCAGACAGATATCCAATGGGCAGTTGGAGGTTTAAGTCTGTAGCTGAAGAAAAAAAGAGAATGGGGCTAGGGAAAGTAATGTCTTGGGAATTAGGGTGGCAGAGAGAATCCACAATGCTAGGGGATTGTTAAGAGCTTCAAATGTACAAAGGGCTGAGGAAGGTGAGAGAAGGCCATAATTTTGGGCAGTTAAGAAGTAATTAACCTGGGTGAGCTTTCTTACAATAGATCACCTGAAAGATAGATGATGTGGCTTTTATAAATGAGTAAGTGAGAAATAATAGTGAGAA